TGTCACTGCACAGTGTGAGACGCTTAACAGCACTCCTCTCTAGGTCAGTACCTTTGAAGATTCATTTCACTAGTGCAGTACATGGTCATCATGGTAACTTAGGTAATGTTGTGGAAAAGGAGTTTGAGACCTTGTGTATAAAAGAGCAGCTTTACACCATGTTTATGCTCTGTTTCAGTCCTGTTCTCTGGGTTATTCAGTATCTACGCCCAGGGAATCAAGCCTCGTGCTTTGCACATGCATAACTGCAAATTTGCTGATGATGGCTTCACACCTTTTATCGCTCTTCATATTACAACTCTGAACATGAATTACACATGCAACTATGGTACTGTGATGGTACTGCACTTCTACCTTTTGTTGTGATCTGGAAGAATGAAAGCAAACTCTCCAACAACTGTCTGTTCCATGTTGGTGGAAAAGGGGTGACAATCCAACCCAGGCATTCAACAAGTATCCTGTAACATTCAGTTGTGACTGTCATTCATAATTTCAGTTGTGTTTATTTCCACTGTGTGCGTCTTATCCTAATGACCTGGTGATAACTTCCTAATTCTTTCAGACATAAAGAAGTTATGTAGTGTTTACTATCTGTATCTACAGTACACTGTTCTCCAATTTCTCAGGCACTCATCAGAATAACTGTTACAAAACTACATTACTACAATAATGACCAATTGCAGCCCTAGTGTCAAACTAAACACAACGGAACTTATAAACATGTTCAAGCAGAGAGTTTAGCTTACACCTTACAAATTCAGGGAGTTTATCGAAATGTACTGAACTTGGCTGAGTTAAAGAAAATCTAATATGGTATATACAGCTATCATACTCCATGTTCTATCACAAGGATACATGAGCTAGTGTTAAATTAAACTCAGACTGTGTAAGAAATATAGAAATGTAAATTTATAGTTCATTGCTAAGTATCAGTGAAGGTCATGTCAAAAACAATCTTTCATCCACTAATTGAAAGACTTTGACACCAGACTGCAAGTAGGAAATGCACTATGGAATAACACAGAGTGAATGCAATGAACCTTTTTAAAAACTACGAGGCTGTGGATATGTTTTACAAGTGTTATAAATCCCTCTGATTGTCTAATGTGCACCTGATGTGGTATATAAAATGGCAGGCTCTGAGACCCATAGACACAGATAAAAACAGATATGAACAGATCAGTAGACAGACTGATAGAAATAGAGCCACTCTCTTAGGACATGGCAGAGGGAGAACAAGCCGAGCGCTCTGCATTCCTGCCTGGGCCCTTCTCACCCACCACCACGTCACTCTGTAAAATAGCATGGCAGCTGTTGACTTCCATCAGCTCAAAGTGTATCTCTGAACATATCCAGTCCCCCCCTGCCCACACACACACACACACACACACAGCTGAAGCAGACACGTGTAAAATACATTGAAATACACACAAACTTGGTTTCCATCCAAATAATTTTGTGGATTTTGATGTGGGAGACAAGTTAAAGCGGCAAGATTCAACAAAAAGTCCTCTGCCTCTGCAAAATCTTCTTCAGGCTCACTTGAAGCAGAGCATTGTTTCTTATTGAACACATTATGCAGCAGATGGCGGCTCAAAGGCAGGATTGACTGAATAAGAAAGGCCCTGGTGAACAGTTTAACTAAAGTGCACTACAGTACAACACTGGCTTTCTGATTGCCACAACCTGCAAATGTGCTATTGTTTATCCAAAGTGGAGGTAGCCTATCTGATGGTAGTTCAATTATTAACATGGTGTATGTCCAACACTGGCAATAATTACTTTTCCATTATTAATCAACAATGTAAAGGCACTCTCCATTCTTCTGGTAGATCATTCAGGATACAAATTCTCTTTCACTCAGCTACACGACGTACAAACTTTTTATCGCAGCATTTCAAAGCTTCAACTTTGCTGAACAGTTGGATGGAAATGGAGCTTCAAACAGACACACACATTGCAGGCATTTATAGGCAGTAGAGATGCTAGGCCTCACACCCACTCACATTCATTCAACTCTCCAGGCCTTCTGTTATTTCTAAGCCTGATAGAGAATCCATAGTTGGGGCTCAGCGGCCCATCTCCAACCAGCAACTGCTTGCTTCAGCTTTCAATGCACCCTAAGTGAAGTCACAAATCACCACTAGTCCAGCCAAGTTGGACTCGGGCACCAAAGACAGTCATCCAGTCCATCCAGAGAGAGGGGGTGGGGAGGTGGGTGGTAGAGGAGGTTTCATATTTCTTTCTGCTTATTTCCTTCTCTCTGCTCCATGTGACCCCCCCCCCCCCCCCCCCCCCCCCCCCCCCCCCCCCCCCCCCCCCCCCCCCNCCCCCCCCCCCCCCCCCCCCCCCCCCCCCCCCCAACTTCTTCTCTTCCTTCACTCGTCTATTTTCAGTCCTTCTTTTGGCCGTGTCTGCCATTCTGAGGGGCACCATTTTTTTAAAGGCCTCTTTGGTGATGGAGAGTTAGCAACTTGGGCGACTAGTTTGGATGAGTCCACTGCAGGGTCAGAAGAGTTAGGGATTAAAAGATGTTGGGGAATGATATTTAGGAACTTTGATAGCAGCCGTATTGCAACATGGTATATTAAAGTGAACAGAAGCAATTCTTAAGATAACAAGACTTGGAATTTAAAATAAATAGGTAGTCTCACATGCACAGATAAAAGTGAGGGGTGAGGATGAAAGTGCAACTACAAACATATCCAGTAAAATGTTTGTTTTTTTTAATGATCATTTTAAATCCTCACACAGTGGCAACAGCCTTTATTTACCTCAACTACAGAGAGAACCAGGCCTTGAAATGAAACAGGCTTATATTAAAGGCAGATCTTCATTTCAAATGCACTCTGTTACAGTCTTCACTAAATTCGTTTAAAGGAAGCTGCCTGAAGAAAGATCGCCGGGGAGCTTAAAGCTAGGCTACTTGCTGTTGGCTATATTGTCATTTTCAGTCACTATCACAATATAAAACGTGTTGTCTATTTCAAAAAAAGTTAAATTACAAAGTAGTAAGAAAGCAAATAGAGTATTCACTCATCTTTTAGGTGGTTACTCCCCAGTCTGATCTCCAGCAAACAGCTGATATTTTTGTAGTTTGTTAACATGGAGTGGGCCTAACAGGAGTGCATATTTAATTCAGTGTCGACAGAGAGCTCTGATGTTACATGATACAGCGGGCTAGACTGCCACTTCTTTGTTGTTGGGACACAGTGCATTATGTTCCACTTGGGAGCAGCGACACCTGGTAAAATTTGGTATACCGGTCCAGTCTGGTATTTGGCTTAATATCAAACTCGTTCGAACATTTTTACAACTGCCCAATCCTAATTACAAGCTAGCTAGAAGCATTAAAAGTACAACTGGAAATCAAGTTTTCAACAAACCCATGGAGCTTATGTCAGCTTAATGACCTAGCTAGCCACAAATGAGGAACCTGCCAGCATTGTCTGCTAACGCTGTTTTCAACCTGCTAGCATCATGTCAGCTGGAAAAACCATGGTTGTAGGTTAGAAATGAGAAATCTGTTTTTGTTTTTTTGTGTCTAAAATTAATCTGCAAGTGTTATCATTGTGAATTGCATGAGTCAGTGGAAAATGGAAAGCTTAACAGGCATAGCAACAATAACTAAGGGGTGCAAGACTTGGTCAACAGTCAAATAATACTGAAATAAAAATAACAGAAAACTAATAATCAACAAAGTACAGACTTGGTGAAATCATTATTAGGAATGGTGTTAAAGAGATGAATGAGATGACTGTAGTCACCAGAGGCAGTTGTTCTAAGGCCAGTTCTGGTTCAGGGCTCCTGGAGCCTCAACCAATCACTTAAGCTGATTCAGTATGTGCCAGAGTGCCACAGTGGAAGGGATGAGCTATAAAGCTGCCAATTTACCCACAAGGGCTTTGTAGATGAATAAGCAGTTATCATATCTCTCAGACAGGGAAGGTATTAAATGCAATGGTAAGTTTTTTTTTTTATCAGCAGTAATGAATTGGTCTGAATGGAGGCGGCAGCATGATGATATATGACACTTTAATGGTCCAGATCTGCTTCAACAATGCTCTGTCTACAGCCCAGAGGCCTCTGTTTAATACAACAAGCCAAGCTTCTTCATAATAAGCACATTTTATCATAGCTTGCTTGGTTTTTAATCTGCTTACACTGTTTTTATTCACACAGTATTTCCTGTCATTTCAGTTTTGCAGTTAATGAAACTTAACATTTTATGCAAAACTTTTCCTGATTAAAAATGTGAGACTGTAAAAACCCAGTTTTGCTTTGCTGCACGTCCCATCATGAATTGCATTAAGGTGAATAATCTTATTTTTTTTATAATATGAAGAAAGTACATAACAGAACATTACATTTGGTATGAATTTCAGAAATATCCTGCACAGTGCATCAAAAACTGCAAATGGAAGCAACTGGGAATGACTACTAAATGAAATAATTTATTAATTTGAGACATTTGTCTCCTTTGTGTTGTGTAGATCAGTAAAGCCCATGCAGTTTCTTTGAAGGTAGAAGCAAGGATGGATTCTCTGTGGAGACATAATGTAACACTTTGAAAATGTCCAATAGTCCATTTTGGCCTGAAGTTCTATGTATCAATGGACACCTTAACCATGTTCAGGTTGAAGCTGTGTCTCTGTGGGGTCTGAATAGGGTAAAAATAAATACATACTGTGGGATTATTTACAAAGCTCTCAGAATATTTAGTATATATTAACTGCCACAGCAGGGATAATTCCCAGAGTAACACCATGCTGTGTGTGTGTGAAAGTGAAAACATGTTCATGAGACAATAGCAGTGTGGGTAGCTCCAGATAAAATTAATACACACATACTTTACAAAAAAAAATAGATAAGAAGTTTCAAACATGCACCAGACTTTTATGTGTTTTACATGATCCACATATCTCTGTGTCATTCATAAACTAACCACCAACACAGTTTAAGGAGATACGTTTTGATATGCAGTTCATAAAAATTCTTACCTGAGTTCAGATTTGGTCAGGTGAGGAAATGGACAAAAATGATAGCTAGACCTACATTCAACAGCATCACTAGTGCCACCAAGATCGAGTTCGGACCCTGTGAAGACACAAGAAAGGTTTCTGTTGTATTATGTGTTCTGGTAAGTTGTGCTACTTTAGCATATACAATTGTAAATGGCACACACATTTGGTGTATGCATGATCCTCATAAGCAGCTGTTTACAACAGATAAGCTCCTATGAACTGACTCTTCTAGCACAGCACCAACTGGCTATCAAACAGAGTTGTTCAATGGCTGGTAATCATAGTCTAGCATCTAGAAATTAACCATACTGTTTGTTTTTTGTCTACTTTTAAGGGGTTTTTTTGTCTGCTGTGAGGGTCCAAAGGACAGAGGGATGCTGTAAAGCCCCCTGAGGAAAATTGTGATTTGTAATATTGGGCTTTATAAATAAAATTGATTGATTGACCTCTCCCCTCCCCTTCTCTCTCCCTCGCTCTCTCTCTCCCTCGCTCTCTCTCTCATACCCCCCCCCCCCCATTCGAGGACATATCAAATGTCATACCAGTTAAAGACTATCTTTTTATCTTTGCACTCATGTCTCACTGCCACTACCGCCATTGATGAATATTATACTCTGGTACCTGGCACCTTTTTGTTGTTGTTTATGTTGTTCGTTATATGTTTCTCTGTTTTGTGTTTATTGTTTGCTGGCCCTTCCTCACCATACATGCAGGCGCATGCACACACACACACACACACACACACACACACACACACACACACACACAAATCAGCTCGCATATCTAAGACATTCCGTTCACTGTAAAATATGATCACTAAAATTTGTATCCTGGAATGTCCGTGGAATTGGTTCTCAGGCAAAAAAACCTCAAATATTTAATCACCTCACAAAATTACAAGCAGACATAGTATGTTTACTTCAAGAAACACATCTTTCCAAATCAGATCATATCAAAATAAAATCATCACAATACAGTCATACATTTTCCACCTCTTATAACTCCAGACAAAGAGGGGTATCTATTTTGATTAAAAATAACATTCTATTTATTCACAACTCCACCATCATAGACCCAGAAGGAAGATTCATTATTATTAACATATCAATCAACAACAGCCCAATCACAATAGGTAATGTTTACGGCCCAAACACTGATGACCCATCCTTTTTTCATAGTTTTTTCTCCTCCATCTCCGTTAATTCAGACTGCCCGATCATCATAGGAGGTGATTTCAATACAGTCATTAACCCATTAATAGACAGAAGCAACACCTCAAACAATAAACACACCTGGCAATCAACAGAAACAATAAAACAGTGCATGAGCGATTTTGGTCTTGGTGATAGTTGGCGCTTGCAACATCCATCCAAAAGACAATACTCTTTCTTCTCACCGGTTCACCATACATCCTCATGCATTGACTTTTTTCTTACCTGCAATACACTCGTATCCAACATTTCAGAATCAAAGATCCACCCCATAATCATCAGTGACCACACCCTGGTAACACTCACCTGGAATCAAATCAGTAAACATAAAGTGAGGCCTAATACCAGATGGCGCTTCAACACATCCCTCCTCNATGGCGCACAGTCTGAAAACGCGCTGTCTAACTAGCAAGTGACTGGGACACGCCTATGCGCTTTGCATCTTAGACCATCCATTTAGGGCCCAAAGTGTGTTATGAGCCACACCTCCCTCTACCTCTGCTCTCCACAGATTGTAGCCCCTTTAGCTCTCGCAGTGCTCTCCACCTTGGAAATGCAAGGCCAATGTTAATCTGGGTTCTGTCCCTTTCTTTATTTTTCTTTCTTTATCCCTTTTATTAACTTCTTCGCCAAGAAGTTGTTTCTTTAGAGGTAATGTCGGATCCTGGTCGTCTTCAGGTGAATGTTTCGTTCCACTCGCCATTTCGCTTCAAAAATACGCGCTGCCATTGCTCACTGGCTGTAGCCTTTTATAGGGAGGGAGGGCCAAGGGCTCCGAGAGGAGGGAGGAGGCGGCGATTCACATGAACATACATGAACGTGCAGTCAGACCGGCTTGTAAACAACGGGCTGGAGATCAACACAGAGAGAGGGTGTGTGATGTCATGCTATACTCCAGATTAAATTACACCTCTAATTCTTCACATAGTGAATTTTTAATTCCTTCAATCTAGAAATGATGAATTTCCGCTTATTGCCCCTTTAAAGAAGCTCAAAGCTGAAAGACATTTCTAGAAAAGATGAAAGCTAAACTGTAAGACTGTGAAAGCTTGAAGTTAAAATGAACTGTCTAGAAGGGCTGACAGAAGGAATGCTTTATATTAAATCACTAATATTATAACAAATTGTAAAAAAAATAAAAAATAAAAAAAAACAACATAATTTTAAAAAGTGGGGGAAAGCAAAATCATAGCAGAAATGAAAGAGAAAAATTAAAGATAAGGTGGGGGTCTCAAGTTAAAAAGCATAAGTAAGAGTGTGTTTGTGCATACTCGTGTGTGTGTGTGTGTGTGTGTGTGTGCATGCATGTGATAGAGGTACATGTAAGGTTCTTATCTAACAATTCAAACAGTCCTTGAAAGTGCTGCGGCAATCTAAACAGGCAGAAACCAATGGAGGTCTAATCAACTAATCAGAATCACCTATGTGTCTGCCTGAATGTGATGACTTACGGTTAGGCATAATTGGTAGTTTTGCTTGAAAAAAAAAGTCTAAATATAAATTATAGCTGCTGCCCAGCAGTGGGTCAGGGCTAGGCATTTTCAAAAAATGGTCTCATTACAATAAAGTGGTTAGTTATTGGGTCTAACATTATCACAGATGAGTACAATTGGTCTAATTGGATCCACAAGAGTCTCAGCTTTCCAGTAATGTCCAGAAATAGTCAAATATACACAGGCAAGAATAACATGTACTGCATTTAAAGAACTGCATGGTTTTTGACCAAAATTGAATGGCATTAGCATCATTCAGGACTTGAGCTGACAACCTCTGACACCAGTGTCTTATTGTGATCCAGTCAAGTTATTATGTGCTAGTAAACCCCTACAGATAAACAAACTATTCTAAAGCCTAAGAGCTAAGCTTAACATAACCTACAAAAAAGTGTTCAGAAAGGGAGGAAGAAAAATAAAAAGGAAAGAAGAAGAAAGGGGAGGAAGACGAAACAAATCCATGGGAATTGCTGCCAAGAGAGGTGCAGTCTCAGCAATATATAAGATCATGTCTTCTGCTGTCCTTGACAACAATTTCCAAACTAAATTACAATGGGAAAGTGATGTGGGTATATCTATAACAAATACACAATGCGATGCTGCCCTTAAAAATAGCACTAAAATATCAAAATGCATCAGATGTAAAATTTTGCAAGTAAAAATCATACACAGAGCATATATTACACCGTGCACATTAAAGAAAATAGACCATAACTTGTGCTGGCATGGTTGTGGAGCAGAGGGTACGCTGATGCACTTGTTATGCTACTGTCCTCTTGTTAAACAGTTCTGGTCAGATGTTACTAAAAACTTAGCATTTCTTCTTAAAATAGATAGTTAAACCTTGTCCCATGTCCTGTATTCTGGGTGTGAAAGCTCCTACTGTGCAACCAAAAATTGTACACATCATTAAAAAACGCTGGCCTTTCTGTCAGCCAAACATATAATTTTGATGAACTGGAAACAATATAAACCAAACTGTTTCAGCATGGAGAACTGGTATAAGGACTTTACAGACTTGCTATCGATGGAACAAGCTGCTCTATTTCTCCAAGATGATGTAATTTCTGATGAACTTGATGGTCCCTGGGACTTTATTAGATCTTGTCTTGAGAAAGCTTAAACAGATTCTGAATTTTTGAATTTTTTGTTGTAATATTTTGTACCAACCCCCTACCCCTTTATTATTTCTGGTTTTGTCTTGTCTTGTTTTTGCTCGTCTTTGTCTATGTTGTTTTGTTTTGTACTATTGTGGTCCATGTCTTTCTTGTTATAATTATAAAATGTTAATAAAAAAAACAAAACAGAAAAACAAACAAATCCATGAGGATCCATCAGTAGAACTTTCTGGGCCAAAAATATCATTATTTCTTGAAATATCTTTCAAATCATGTGTTTCAAACTCACACAGCACAACATCTGAGGAGGCAAAAGCATGTTTTATCTGCACCACCCAGGACCTTTAGGCACCAATGGCAAGTTGTTATCAAGTTGAGCTACCTCACCAGTGTAGAATTTAAAGGTGACTTTGCACCATGATACAGCCAAACACCAGGGTGCAGCATAACAGCTGTACATGCAAAGATACTCCTTTTGCATTGACTACTATAGGCTACATGATGGCAGAATTCAAAATGCTGTCAAAAATTCAGAATTTCCCCCTCACTCTGTTTACTCGGTGACACATCAGTCACAAACCTAAACACACCAGACCAAATCAAACTACTCCTTGTAGCCTTAACTATTGCCAAGAAAACTATCCTCATAAACTGGAAATCCAAAAACAACACAAACATCACACAATGGAAAAATTTATTTATCGATCATATATTCATGGAAAACTTATTCGCTCCCACCCACCACCCTGCAATAGTACCTCTCTCCATCTGGTCACCACTCATAAACTTTTTACAATCTTAATTAAATTTAGTCATGTACCTCATCAACATCCTTTTTGCCTGGGAACCAATCACAACAATAGATCATAATATTACTATTAATACAAATAGGTACTACCTTATTGTTATTATTATTATTATTATTATTATCATCATCATTGACACGACATTATTAATGTGATGATTGTTTTGTTTTGTTTTGTTTTCGGAGGAGGAGGCGGGATAACGGATACAACCATTATTATTATTATTATTATCATTATTATTATTGTGATGAGTATTATTATTATTATTATTATTATTGCCACTTTCCGTTAGACATAGGCTCTGCCTCGGGCCCCTGCTTGTTGGACCACAGCCTGTGGTCTCCTCGCTCCTCCTGGCCTCTACCCTTCCCCGATTTTCTGCCCTGGACTGTTCCCACGTGGCGCATCACCTTTTTTTAATGCACTACTCACCAGTTTAGGAAAAGGAAGGGGGAAACATAAAACAAACAATCAAATCACAGCTCATGACACTCCCCCACCTTGTTTTTTAATGCATCACATACACTCTGATTTTAATGCACTACATGTATTAGAAAACACACACACCTTTTAAAAGAATTTATTAAAAAAAAATAAATAAATAACAAAAAAAATTATATATATACATATAGAAGTAGGGTAAGGTGTTGTGCTACATGTACTCTGGGGCACCCGGGGGATGGGGTGAGGGGCCCGGAGGTGTTGGGGGCTGCAGGATGGTCCCCTGCGGGTCGGTAGGGGCCTGAGGCATCCCGTAAAAAAGAATAATAATAATAATTTAAAAAAAAAATCTCAATTTCATATGAGATTTGCACCTCTGACCCCCTCCACCTCCATCCGCCCTCCATATTGTTATTATTGTTATTCATTACTATTACTGTTGTCATTATTGTTATTATTATTATTATTATTATTATTATCGCAAAAACTGTAAGTTGGCATTTCTATTTATTTTATTATTATTATTATTATTTGTTTGATTGTTTGTTTATTCATTTCTATTCTTGTCATTGTTTTTTCCTTTTGCCTGTCTGTTAACTCTAGTGTTTATTATATTATTGTTACTATTATTATTATTATTATCACTGTTATTATTATCAAGCTTTATAACTATCATTATTGTCATAACTATCATAATTATCTTTATAACAATGCAACTGTTATGTTAGTTGTACTCTCAAGTGATACATACATGCACATACACACATACACACACGTACACACACACGCACATAAAACCACAAATATCGTTGTTTGTTGTTCTCACTTTGTCTGTCTGTCCATGTCACTGTATTGCACAATTAAAAAAAAAAAAAAAAAGAAATGTCAGTATAGCACTAATGGTGTATCTTCCTAAATGCTATGCTATTTTTTTTTTTCTTACAAAAGAATGCTTAGGGACAAGAAGCATCAATATATCTGCTTATTTCTATATAGAAACAATACATGTTTGTGTTTTTTCTTGGTATAACCATACTCTGAAGAAGACCAATAAAGGCCTGCATTTCAATTTACAGAGAATGGTTTAAATCAAAATTATTTTCCCAAATCAGCCCTACTCACGAGAGAGCTCTCTTTTCTGTACCTCATCCAAATCCCACAAAACCATGAGAGTGCTGCCAAATTTGTGTCCATATACAATCACACATATACTGTACAAGGCACTTCTGCTAAGGTTAGGAAATCTACTTTCAGTGTGATTCAACTGGGAGAGCTTGGCAATCACATGCCCTGGGGAGCCCAGAGTATCGATGCTCTAATGTTAATCGGAAATGACACCAGGGATCTCATTTATAAAAATCCATACTAAAAATGTATGTATGTATGGACAAATGCCAAAAATGGTGTGCACCAAAAATATTTCCACTATACTTCCACCTCATCATCTTCATTGCCAATTTCCCATTTCCAAAATGTCCGTAAGTGTCATGGCACACATTCTGTGGCCTCAATTTCATTTGTTTTTAGCACCACCTTGTGGCAGTTTGTGGTATATAACTTTATTGATAGTCGGGAAGTGCAGTAGTTGTTCATGCCATGCGGTCAGCTTGCAGCTCCAGCTACCAGATAGTTTCCTCCCTCTGTTGTGCCTTGGAAAGGGATCGCTTGTGAGTTGAATTGATGTTTATAGTTGAGTATAAATGCAGTATGATATGTTTCATTTAAATATTTAGTAATTTACATGTGAATATTGTCAATGCTAACCACTGTGGCTGTGAATGATGGATATTTGGTTTCCTGCTGCAAGTATGCTAGTACTGTTTTTATTTACACCTTAAGTTGGCAAATGTTATTTACATTATTTACAAGTTATGTACAGCTATTTACATATCTGAAGGCGGTATTTTTATGTTATAATTTTGTAGCTGTCATTATTATGTCTGTGGCTGTATAATGTTATTTGAATAGCTTTCAGTAATTGGTGTTATCTTTCTGTACTGTTTCAGTTTTACAAAATTGTCATGAGAATGAAGACAACAGTAAAGAATATTCAACTTTACTCCAGCTTCTGACTTTCTCTTGAAGCCTGTTAGCTATCTGTCAATTTGTGTACAGATACACACAGAGGACAGAATACTAAGCATAAATCAAAGTTTCTCCCATCAAGTCCATTTTTGTAGATCACAACTTTTGCGTGGGATGTGGCATTGTTTTGTGCATATGCAATGTTTACAAATAAGACCCCTAGTAAGTATTGCACATTCAGGCAAAGAAAAGTGAAGTCACAGCCCTCTCTTCCTTCAAAGGAACAAGCTGGAGACTGCTGGCTTTAATATGACCAGGATTGTGGCATTGTTTGATTCACACTGGGGCCTAGCAAACCGCACAAAAACTCAAAACTGCAAGAATCCAAATCAAACATGAATGGTAATTTAATCTAACTCACTGATTCCTCTTCTACAATTTCTGGGGGTATTTCCACACTAGCTTTCTTGGTTTCTGCGAGGCTCTTTGGTTTGGTTGATTCCTGTTTTTTTGGCTTGAGAGGTTCTGGTGGTTTGGTGCTCTCTGGTGAAGAGTTGGGGGCTGGCAGGGATTTTAGAGCTGGCGCCCAAATCTGTTTGGCAGGTGGTGGCAAGCGTGCAAGGCTTGATGGGTGAAGGTCATCCTCCACACTACTTGGTTCCTCTGGAGGCGGAATCTTGACATCTGCCTTGACATAGTAACCGTGGTACTGGGAGTGAATCTGCCCATTGCTGGGGTAACTGCTGAGTGTTGTGGTAACAGCTGGTTTGACAGCTGGAAGAGCCTCCTGTTGCCTCACTTCCTGTCTGAGAGAAAGTTTTGATGCTGCCTTTGTTATGCCTGCCAAGTGAAAGAAAGGAAAAAAGAGAAATAATTAAACAAAGGACAGACACATATGGTGGTTGTGGGCAGCTGTGACTCAGGAGGCAGGGTGAACTGTTTACTAGTTTGCCGTTTGATCTTCCCTATCTTGTCTGCATTTTGAAGCACCCTTAGGCAAGACAGTGAGCCCCAAATTACTCCCGATAGTCTGCCCAGTACGTCAGTGCTGCATCGGTGAGTGTGCATGTGTAAAATACAGAGCCCCTCTGGGGTCACATGGTAGAAAAAAAAACACTTGATGTGTAAATCCAAGCCAATGTTTTGTAATTTGTTTTCCCAGATCCATGATCTGTGCCACTGGCTTTGTAATTTGCCCGTTTGGATTCATAATTTGATTCCGTTGGATTATCATATCACATGCGAACAGTCTTGTAATTTGCCCCTTCAGGTTCTATTCAATTCAATTTTGTTTATAAAGGCTAATATTACTAATATCACATCAACTTCCAATAGTCATACCCATGAGGACCTCTTTACTAACATTCACGGCCTATTACTTCATGTCACTAACTTGACTTCTTCTCCGGAGCCTTTGTCTGGCAGGTTACCTCGTATCGCAGCTGTGTCTGGATTGTGTGACTTGGTTGTGCTGCTGCTGTGGTCCTGCCTAATGCCTCCTACTGCTGCTGTTATCATTAGTCATACCTCTGACATATTGTACCACATTAGCCGTAATTATTATTATAATATCATTACTTAAATTAATGTTGTAAGCTGTCATTACCGTCTGTCCTGCATCTCTCTCGGTCTCTCTCTGTCTCTGTCTCTCTTTCTGTATCATTTTGTCATACGGATTACTGTTAATTTATAATGTTGATCTGTTCTTTACGACATCTATTGTACGTCTGTCCGTCCTGGAAGAGGGATCCCTCCTCAGTTGCTCTTCCTGAGGTTTCTACATTTTTTTTCCCCATTAAAGTTTTTTTTGGGGGGAGTTTTTCCTTATCTGCTGTGAGGGTCCAAAGGACAGAGGGATGTCGTATGCTGTAAAAACCTCTGACGCAAACTGTGATTTGTGATATTGGGCTTTATAAATAAAATTGAATTGAATTGAATTGAATGTGTTTTCACAAGTTATACTGTCAAAATAAGATAAATAAAAGCTTAAATCCCTAGAGAGCTACATCAGTATGATGCTAAATGATAGCAGTTTGCGCTCATCTACAGTACCAGTTCACTGCTATGTAAAGAAAACAAAATCTGAGACATGGATTGTGAATCCGAGGGAACATATAACAAAACCATTCCCACAAGTTTTTTTCCTCAACCATGTGACCCAAGAGGGATAAATAAGAGGCAAAAAATGTAAGCACTTTGGATTAAAGTCCATAGAAGAGAATAGAAAAAACCTTTTACTTAATTTTTGCAGGCAAAAGCAGAAGTTTGTCCTTGGTTTATGCTAAATCAACTATTAAAAGGGGGGTAGGCCTACATTTAAACACATATCACATCCATAAAGGACACTTAGATAAAAACACAATACACAACAAAAGCCAAATTAAAAGGGGCACCAGGTTCTAAATGTTGTGGACAAGAAACATACATTTGACACACTAAGACATTAAATTTACAGTCTTTGCACAATTGCAAGCCAAAGGTCGCTGGTACCTTTGTGCCCTGTTATTGCTGATCCTCAGGTAATTGTGACCAACTGCAACTAAGGAACACAAGCTTATAATATGTATGTGTTTCAATTTCTAATGCAAACTAGAGCAACAGGGGAAAAAAAGCAGCAGCCATATCTTTCTTAATAATGTCCACACTAACAGAGTGACAGTGAGTAAACTTACTTAACTGATACTGATGACCATTGGTGACTCTTCTGCACTTTTGTACTCAAGATGCCTGGTTTCTGAGTCTGTTACTTAACACTGTTGGGTGCTTTGTTGCTGCAGTAATGACAGTTGACTATATCTGCTGCTCACCAGGTTGCAACTAAAATTGTTGCTATTCACTGCAGTTGTGGACTTGTTGCTGTTACCTTGTGTCTACACATTCTGTGCGGTGAAAGCAGCACATCAGCAGCACAGACGCTGCTTTTGTTCTCCATAAGTGTCAACACAGTATTCCTTCAGCCACAGTACTGCTGTGTGGTCAGTTGCATTTTTGGCAGCACTCAGTGCCCAATACCAGAATGGAGGATTATGGGGGCATATTCAAAACAAAACAGAACAGAACAGAACAGAACAGAGCAGAGCAGAGCAGAGCAGTGCAGAGCAGTGCAGAGCAGAGCAGAGCGGAGCAGAACAGAACAGAACAAAAAACAAACAAAGACACACCTTAGATTTTGAGAACAACATCATAATATTGTGAGAATAAAGTTGTAAATTTACCAGAAAATGGTTTTTGGGGATTGGGGGATATATATATATATGTATATATATATATACACAGTATACATATGTGTGTATATGTATATATACAGTAGTGTTGCACGGTATACCGGTACTAAAATAGTACCGCGGTACTACAGTATTCCAAACGGTACTATACTGCATATGGAAAATACCGGTACTTTTTAAATTGATTCAGTTCATTAATTTATTTAATTCATTTATGCACACAAACGCCTTCCTTGTTCCTACTGGAGCACAGATTGCGCAAGTGGTGTGTATGACAACACCTGTATCAACATTCGCAGCTGGCACACGTGAAAAAAGGCAAGAGAAAGTCTGCCTCGCAAAGGGAGACATCATGAGACAACACCAACTTGGTGAAACATTTGAGTTACCAAACCGTGACGTCCGTACCGAGGTACTTACCGAACCATGATTTTTTTTGGTACCGTTACACCCTTACTATTCATTGTTCTAAAGGTTTGTATCCAAAAGGACTTTTCCTTAGGAAAACGTACCAAAAAGTATCGAAACTTATATTGGTATCGGTACCGAAACAAAGATTTTGGTATCGTGACAACACTAATATACAGTATACATATACAGTATACAT